CGTGAGTTTTCGAACTTTTGGGTTGACAGAAACTGGGGAGGAAACAGGAGCTCACCCTGTTAATGCGAAGGCTGGACTCGAACCGCTGAAGCGTCGACCATTTCTGGCCGGCAACTTTATATATGTACATACGTTGGTCAAAGACTACAATAAAACTTTACCTGCCTACTATAACATACCATTCAGAGGAATCAAGGCTAAAGTTTGAGGGTTACTGTGATCTTTCAGGACAAGCCAGAGGCACCCAGCAAAGGTTGGGTGGAAACATGACAAAGTTTGGGTATGTTGGGGTTTTTTCCTCCTTTTTTTTTCCTATTTTCCTTTTGTATCATTTGTAGGTCACTCAAAACCTTTATGGAATTGAGTGGCATATAAATTGCAGGAATAAATAAATAAACATGTAAAGAAGTAAATAAAGAAGTCAGTGGGGCCAGGATAAAAAGAAAATTGAATCTGATTAACTTTGAATTGATTGCTTGCAATTAATGTGGTTTATTCCCCATTAATGTTATAATTTCCCCAATATGTGTTCAACTGAGCATGACAAGTTTTGGAGGTAATTTGGAGCCCACATCCAAAAGTTTAGGGGTGCCATCCTGAGACCATTAGTTGGGCACTTCTGGCTTACAGGAAGGACAGTCTCTTAGTGGGAAAATGTATTCTTAGTGGGAAATTGTGGCTTTGGGGCTGTACATTATGCCCCACAGCATAATTACAGCCCCAAAGCCACAATTTCACCCTTTATGAGTTGGCTGTTTTTGAACAATGCCAGGAATCCGAAGTTCTTCTCCCACACATTGGTTCTGTGCAACTGTGCCCCACAGCATAATCACAATTACCAAGACCCCTGGGCTGTTCAAGCTGCATAGTGAGAGGCAACAAGTGCCAACCTCAAGTGGCTGAAGTCAGGACCTAAACTAAGGGTACACAATTCAGCCAAAGAGCACCACATTATTGCAGCCTTAAGTATCTCACAGGGTCGTGGCATGGGTGACATTTCAGGGAGGAGCCCATGTACCCTGTCCCAAGCTTCTTGGGT